ACGGCCCCCCTGCGCCGCCTAGGCCGCAGCTACATTTTCATCATTTTCGTGAGGAAGCCTCAGGTAATTCGATGTGATCAAGATCCGGTTGTTTTGTTCCCCCCCGCTTTCCCTTGCAAAAAACACTATAAAATGACATTTCTTGTTCTAATATAATCAAATTTCAAGAATCCCTTGCAAAAAATAAGGTAAAGTGGACATTCGCGCGCGCAAGACGAAATCCTTCCAAAAGCTTAGTGTTCGGAGCGATTTTAACATAAAAACATCAAAAAACCAATGGTTTTTCAACAAAAAAATGTCAAAATCTCATCCCGCGCGCTCTTGCGGATTCGTAGGAAACCCAACACTTTTTAAACATTTCTGTCAAACGGGCTTTTGCGAGCAACTTTTTCGAACTTCTGCGACAACGGTTGCGCACCTGCCAGGGCCATCATCCCTGTCAAATAATACCATGCGGGACACATTCGTTTTTTCTTCGCGCGCGCACGCCGAAATCTCCAAAAACCATTGGGCTTCTTAAGAATTTTAGCACCGCGCATCATAAAATCACACGAATCGCACCGTAGGTCCTCGAAAAACACCTGCACGACTTTTCAAAATTTCTACCCGCGCGCGCTGTCCTAACAACTTCTGTGGGTGTGTACTCCACGCCAGTGTAGTAGCCACGGTCGTCCGCAGGCCACGAAGTGAAGTGTCCGAACGTCATAGGGCGGGAAGCTGGGTGTGGGTGGTGGCGAAGAGTCGTGTGGATATTTGGTAGAGCTTGCACTGCCCCCCCACAAAGTGGGGGTATTGGCTGGCGTCGCATGAAAACCCTGGCACTGGTGAGAACACTGAGCGTTCGGGTAAAGTGATTGTTGTTGTTGTTGTTGGTGTTGTTGTTGTTGTTGTTGTTGTTGTTGTTGTTGTTGTTGTGTTTGTCTTTGGTTTTGTTTTTGTTGTTGGTGTTGTTGTTGTTGGTGTTGTTGTTGTCTTTGTTGTTGCTGCGTTGTGTGTTGTGTGTTGTTTGTTTGTTTGTTGTTGATTTATTGTCGTTTTCCCACCTGCGACTCCGCTCGCGACCCACCCGCGACACACCCGCGACCCACCCGCGATCCACTCCGCGACCCACCCTGCGACCCGCCCGCGACCCCGCTCGAGACTCACTCGCGACCTACCCGCGACCCATCCACGACCCACCAGTTACCCACCCGCGACCCACCTGCATTGTATCTAGCAAACACATCGGCGCTTGCAGCGGGTCGTTGAATAATTGGCAAAAGATAAAAGCATTCGGCGTCCTTGAGAGCCTCGCAGACTGCGGACGTCCCCACCGCCCCGTCACTCTTGTCCGCAACTGCGGGGTGCTACGTGCCGAAGACGCCTACGGCGAATCGCCGCCGCCCCCTGCCTTCTAGAATCGTCCATGTGGCCGAACGTTGTGGCCAGAGCTCTGCCAAGCTATCGGACCATATGTTCCCCCAGCCGTTAAGAAACCTTTCCGGGGAACACTTCGGGGAGGATGGCGGGGAAGATCAAGAGGAGGAGGAGGAGGAGGAGGAGGAGGAGGAGGAGGAGGAGGAGGAGGGGGAGGGGGAGGGGGCATCTTGGGAATCTCTGGGAGCAACTTGGGGCCTGCTGGGAGCTTCCAGGAGGCCTGTTGGAGGCATCTTGGAGGCCTCTTTGGACATCTTGGGGGCCTTTGGGGGCTTCTTGGGGGCCTCTTTGGTCGTCTTAGGGCGTCCCTGGCCCGTCTGACGCCGTCGGAAGTCGTCTTGGGGGCCGTTCGGAAGTCATTTGGGACCCTCTTGGGGTGCTTCAGGGCCGTCTTGGAGGCAATCTTGGGCGTCTTGAAGGCCTCTTGGGCCGTCTTGGGGAACTCTGGGGGCCGTCTTGGGGGCCCCTTGGGCCGTTCTGGGGCCATCTGAGAGGCCTCTTGGGCGATCTTGGGGCGATCTTAGAGCAGCCGTCCGGCTATGCGTTTCCCATTGCCAGAGGACTGCCGCTAGGGCGGGGAACCCTTGGGAGGGTAGAATTTCTTGTTGTGGTCACAAGCTTCCCATACATCAGAATTATGAGGAACCTGGATTCACCAAGAAAAAACATTCTTGTTTGTGGTGATTCCAGGCTTGCCATAATTCGATTATGGGAAACTTGGAATTCGAATTTTGGGAAACCTGGAATCACTACGAACAATTTCTGTAATTAGTGATTCCATGTTTCCCATGAGTCGATTATGGGAAACCTGGAATTCGAATCATGAGATACCTGGAATCACGACCCCCCTTTTTTGTAGTGATCCTAGGTCTCCCATCATTCGAACCCCCCAGCGGCTGCTCCGCCCTGGTTTCCCGAAGTTCTGAGTTCGAGTTACGGGGGACCTTCCGCAGTGTGGGGACCTTCCGCCCCCCAGTTCCCCAAATGAGGGGTTCGAAGTCTGGGAAACCTGGGACCAATATAAACACAACATGGTGTTATAGTGAGCCCAGGCTTCCCATAATACCGGATGACGGGAAACATGTAATCCTTACGATTTTGTTTTAGTGAGTCCAGGCCTTCCATCTTTCGATTGTGGAAAACCTTGAACTTCGATGATGGGAAATTCCATAATTCGAGCCCCCAGGGGCTTTTCGTTTTCCCGAAAATTCAGAATTCGAGCTACGGGGAACCTTCCGCACTGTAGGGAACTTCCACCCACCCAATTAAGAAAACAAGGGGTTCAAATTATGGGACACTTGGAACCATTAGGAAAAACGCGTTTTTGTAGTTGATCTAGGTTTCCTATAACTCCGAAGTGTAGGAAACTTGGAATCACTACGAACATTATGATTTAGTTGTGTTTCCACTTTCCCCATGCTTCGATTATGGGAAACGTGGAAGTCGAATTATGGGAAACCTGGAATCACCATAAAAACCGTTCTTTCGTAGTGATTCCAGGTTTCCCATCATTCGCACCACCCAGCGGCTTCTCCCCCCTGGTTTCTCGAAATTCTGAATTCGAACTACGGGGAACCTTCCGCATTGTGGGAAACTTCCGCTCCCCGTTCCCCAAAGGAGGGTCTCGAGTTGTGGGAGACCTTTTTTTTTGTAATGCTTCCGGGTTTCTCGTGATCCGAATCTCCCGGCGGCTTCTCCCCTGGCTTGCAGCGGCTTCTCCCCTGGCTTGCTTCCATTCTACACCCGAAGTGCGGGGAACCTGCCGCTTTGTGGGGAACTTTGCCCCCCAGTTCCCCAAATGAGGGGCTCGAATTATAGAAAACCTGGAGCCATTCAATGAGCCGCTCCCAATCAGTGCTTGCACTGAAGGGGTTCTTGCGGATATTGAAAGGTTTGGCGGAAGTTTCTTGCCGATTTTGGTAGCCAGCTGGGTTCCCGGGTTCCCGCCCGGTTCCCGGGTTCCTGGTTCTTGGTTCCGGGCCGATTCAAGTACTTGCCGAAGTTTTCAAACCATCCGCTGATTAGGATTTTTCTTTGGTTTTTTGTAGTGATTCGAAGTTTCCCGTAATTCCAAATTTTGGGACATTTCTCATTACGAAGAAAGCATGTGTGAAGTGATTCCAAGTTTTCCAATATTTCGATTAGGGGAAGATCGGAATTCGAGTTATGGGAAACCTGGAATCACTACAACCCCCTGTTTTTCGGAAGTTCATGTCAGGTTTACCATCATTCGAAACCCCCCAGCGGTTTCTCCGCCCTGGTTTCCCGAAGTTCTGAGTTCGAGTTACGGGGATCCTTCCGCATTGTGGGAAACTTCCGCTCCCCGCTTCCCAAAATCAAGAGTTCGAATTATTGGAAGCCTGGATTCACTAAGACCCCTCCCTATTTTGTAGTGAATCCTATATTCCCATAATTCAGATTTCTGGAAAACGTGGAATCACTACGAAAAACATTTGTTTGTAGTGATTCCAGGTTTCTCATAATTCGATTGTGGGAAACCTGGAATTGGAATTATGGAAAAGCTGGAATAACTACAAAAGCTCGTCCTGAATTGTAGTGATTCCAGGTTTCCCATAATTCGAACCCCCCAGCTGCTTTTCCCCCCTGGTTTCCGGAAATTCGGAATTCGAATTACTGGGAACCTTCAGCTCCGTGGGGAATTTCCGCGTAGGGAATTTCCGCCCCCCGGTTCCCCAAATGAGAGTTCTGAATTTTGGGAAAGATGGAATCATTACGAAAAGCATTCCTGTTTTGTAGTGGATCCAGGTTTTCCACGATTTCGAATTATGGGAAACTTGGAATCACTACGAGCAACTGTTTTGGTCGTGATTCCAGGCTTCCCATATTTTCATGATGGGAAACCTGGAAGTGAAAATATGGGAAACTTGGAATCACTACAGAAACCTTTATTTTTTGTAGTGATTCCAGGTTTCCCATAATTTTGAATTGCCCCCAGTTTCCCATTATTCGCCTTTTCCGACTTGTTGACTTGTGGGCCTTTTGGAACGTCTTGGGCCGTCTTGGAGGCTTTTTGGGCGAACTTGGAGGCATCTTAGATTCTCTTGGGTCGTCTTGGAAGCCATCTTTGACCATCTTGGGCAAACTTGGAGGCCATCTTGGCCGTCTTGGAGGCCATCTTGGAGCCATTTGGAGCAGGACAAACCTTTGCGACCACCTTGTCCAGAGCTTTCCGGATGGCTGGCGCAATTGACCGACGTCCGAGTGGGAGTTCTTGCGGAAAAGAACCAAAACCAGGCCGTATATGCTTCAGCACGCCAGGCACCCTGTGGCAAGCCAACAGGGGGGCGGCGACGAGGCAACGACGGCGAACATAGCCGCCAAGCAGGCCCAGACGACGGGCGGCGACGGGACGGCGACGGCGGCAACCTAGCCGCCAGATCGCCAGACGGGACCTCACGGGCGGCGCCGAGGCGACGACGCGGCGGCGACGGCGAGAACACAGCCGCCAGACCGCCAGACAGGCTCAGATCCTTAGAGAAGAAGCACGAACCCTTAAGTGCAAGCATTGTTTGGGGGAAATCTTGCAGGAGGGGGAGAGCGAGAATCTGTTTTCCTATCAACAGGCTCCGGACACGCCGAGCAGGATCATGGAAAAGATCGCGGAGACGCTCAAGCCCAAGGACCGGGGGACGCTCCCGAGGAGGAGGGCGAGGACGAAGACGAGAAAGGGACGATGACGAGTACGAGGGAAGAGGAAGAGGAGGCAGAGGAAGAGGAGGACAAGGAGGAGGGGGAGGATGAGGAGGAGGACGACGACGACGACGCCTCCTCTTCCCACCCTCCTCCGTCTACCCCCCATCCACCTTCACTCGCCTCACCGCCCCCTTCTGTCCTCGTCATCCTCCATTCCTCTCCTCCTCCGCTTCTCCTCCTCCCTCCTTCGTTCCTCCTCCTCCTGCCTCCTCCGCCAAGACGGCTGCGCACTGTTCGAATTCCGACGTCCACAGTGGGAAGACCACGATGTGGGAAAATACGGCATTTGATTCCGCTAACATGTATGCTCAAATGGGTGCGGCCAAGCACACAGTGTGTGAGGCAAACGTGAACCTGTACAGTGGTTTCGAGTGCCTTGCTAAGGAATCTGCACGAGGGGCCGCCGAGTTTGAAGTGCACCTGCGCACTTGAAGTCTGTTAACAAAACTCGGCTCGACACGGTAGGATAGGATGCCAGCGAAGTCCAGCCAGCACTCGATTCTTTTGACTTGCCACGGCCAGAGCCTAACCCAGAGCAAGGGTCCCGTGAGGACGAGGTGGGTGGGGGTGGCGGTTTGTCATGGGGTGGGGGGTCGTTTGGGGGAGGATTGGGTTGCGGCCGATGTTGCCACCTCTGCCCTGCATTTGAAAGGTCACGCTGTGATGCGTTGTGAGCTCGAATCCCCTCAGCGTGCAGGCGTGGCCCTAGTGTATTAAGTTCGATGCGGTGACCACTGTCAGGACTTTAGGCCAGGCCAGCTTCTGATGTCTGTATGCAAGGGGCACACCCGGTCGCCTCAGGTCAAGTCAAGAGCCAGCTGAAGCGTATCAGAGATGGCAATTGCCCTCACGGCGGAGCCACGACCAAACACGTGGCTTTGAGTAGCCCCCGTGACCTGAGCCAGGCTGAGCGGGATCTGATGACAGTTCGGGTCCTTGCTCAGCTTGCCCCCGCCGCGCTCACAGGGACGTGCCCAGCTTCGGGCATTGCCTCCCGCGGGACAAATTATGCTGGCGTTCGGCCTTGTGGAGGGCGACCTTGACATGGTCAAAGCCGTGGGCGAGGCCTCAAGGAAGGGCCCTAAGGATCGGGAGGATGAGAGGCCCTCTGATTCTGGTGGCGACGTGTTCTGGTTGTCTTCCTGACTCTAGGTCGCTCCACCACAGCCTCCCTCCCTCCTCCGCGCTCCCCCTGCTCCTCCCTGCTTTGTGGTGCTCCTCCTCCCCCTCCCCCCTCCGATCCCTCCTCTTCTCTCCGTGCTGCGTTTGCTCCTGGGCGTTTTCTGGCCTCGGGGCGTGCGCCTGCAGCGGCGCCTCGCCGAGGGCGTTCCGGAGGCGCCCGGAGCGCCTCGCCCCGCCGCCAGATGCCCGAGGTGTGGCTCGACAGCCCAGCTTTCTCGTGCCGTGGGCACAAAGCACGGCGGGAATTTGTTTGACATGCTCTAGGGCCTCCTAACTAGGTTGGGGTCGGAGTAGATGGGGTCGGAGGATCGCGCTGCATCGCCGATGCATCGGCGATGCGGCTCGATGTGGAGGCCGTGTTTCCCCACGCCGGCGTCGCCGATGCATCACCGACGTCGCCAATGCATTGGCGATGCCGCGCGATCTTTCGACCCCATCTACTCGGACCTCATCTAGGAGGCCTCTACATTTTCTTACCAGTCTGAAGCATGTCCTGTCCCGATCCTTGTGTTTGGCATCACCACACCTCGGTGCCGATCTTGAGGGTTCCCTCAGGTTCTGAGGGCGCATGTCTAGAATTGTCCTCGCTCTTTGCTCGCCCATCTTAGGGATAGAGATAAGTTCGAGGCTGGTTAATTTTCGGGTTTTCAGGCTTTCGCCTGGCCGTCAAAGAGCGGCTCTCGGGATGGAGACCTGGTCCCCAGAGAACGGGCCCTGACCTCGGGGGAGCCGCGCTGCGAGCAAACACGGCCTCCGAGGTATGGGCCTAGGAACCGACGGCGTGTTTTTTCTGTGCTCACCACGTTCCCAGCCCCTCAGACCTCGACCTTCCCTTGTGGACCGGCGTTTCATCCCGGGCTAGGCTCTGCGGCCCCCTGCGCCTTGGGCGCGAGGGCTCGAACCGTTGCACGCCCGACCGCGGTGGGCTTGCCTTGCGGTTCCCCAGAGGAGACCGTTTACGTCGCTTCGGACGAGCTGGACCCGGAGTGGTGGAGCCAGCTGCGGAGCGCGCTGAAGGCCGCCGGCCACGGCGTTGGCGGCGGCGTCTCGACGACGACGCTCGGTAACGTTTAACCAATCCCCATCCCATCCCCACCCTCCTCGAGACCCCCACCAAATTACCGCTCCAGTTGGGGATACACCCCTTGAAACCGGGGAACGACCTACATCCCCATCCAGGGGGGTACATCGGCCAGTGGGGCCCAGGCCATGCCGCTGGGGATGGGGATCGCTGGAACGATACTCAGACGCAGCACGGAGACGGCGATGGCGTCGGCGGCCCTGGCGACGGCGGCAGCGGTGAAGGCGGGCGGCCACGAGCTCATGACCTTCGACGACTTCAAGCCCGAACTTTTGGACAGGGGGCTCAAGGAGGGCCCGACGCGTCTCTTCGTCGTCGTCGTTCGTCGTGATCGTTTTCGTCGTCGGCGGCGTTCGTCGTTGTCGTGATCGTCGTCGTCATTTTTCGCTGATGTTGGTCGTCCGGGGCCAGGCCCTGGGACTGTCAAAAACAAATCGGGACGACAAGCAGGTCGAATGGAAGATGCGCAGACTTCTGGGGAGCCATGAATCGTCGGATGTTTGTGGGAGGGCGCGAAGAGAAGGAGGAGGAGGATTTTCCTCGGGGGGCTCCTGAGGCAGAGCAAAGTTGAGGAGGAAGAGGAGGAGGAAGATGATGAGAAAGAGGGGGCGGAGAAGGATCACGAGGACGGGGGAGGCCGCCCCTGGCAGGGGTGGGGGGAGGGGGAGGAAGGGAGGGGAACGGAGTTGGGACTTCGAGATCTGACGCAAGGAGAAGGGCACGAAGTCGTGAAACGTCACGACGGGATTCATCGACCCAATCTTCTTCGGCATGCACTGGCTTGCTCTGAAGTATCCTCATGGCCAGACTTTGGCTGAACCTGACCCCCAGACATCCGACGCCGTGATTTGTTCACCACGTGACGCCCCAGATCTCTGGACCGATTGTCCTAAACAGCTTGTCTGCAGGGGCCGATAACAGCTTCTGAGGCCCAGTGAGAGCGGGTCCGGATCCAGAATGGGTGGCTCGTGGTTTCCCGTGTGGTCGCCTGGATGGTCTCCCGGACTGTATCCCGTCTCCCTCCTCCCCGTGTGGTCGCGCGTAAGGTCTCCCATGCGGCCTCCCGTTTGGTTGCCCGGATGACGTCCCCGATGGTCTCTTGGGTGGTTTTCGGATGGTCTCCCGTGTGGTGTCCCACGCGGTCTCCCACGCGGTCTCCCGCACGGTTTCCCGCATGGTGTGTTGCATATGGTCCCCCGTGTGCGCAGCCAATATCCTGAGGCATGGTCTTGTCGTTTCATTATCATGTGTGGAGTCTTCTGGTGCCGGTGCGTGACTGACAGCCCTGGGGCCTGGTCAGGGGCCTTGGGGCCACAAGAGTGTCAAACGTTTCCCGTCACAATTTTCACGACGCGAGGGATGTGGGCAGGCAGGAGTCGTTTTCCTCAGTTCGGTCAGCCGTGCGAGAGAGCAAGCCGAGTTAATCAGATCCAGTGCGCGTGAGAAGAGCGAGACCAGCGTCACCCTCACGTACTTGTAAGTATCTGTGTGTCGCCCCAAACGGGGCGACGCTCGCACCGAGAACTCTTGTGATCGTTTTTTATTAACTGTTTTGCCGATCGGCGCGGCACCCCCAACCCCCCTCCCCCCCCAATGGACTAAATCTTGTTGTTTTTGGGGCGCCTGTTTCGAGCGGGTGGAGTCTCCCCCAGAGGCAGCACTCTTGCAAACAGTCGCATCAAGCAGATGTCTGCAGCCAGATCCCCCCTTCCCCCCCCTCCTTCCGCCCAATGTCGAAAGGCCGAAACAGAAAACGCCCACCTTATCCTATAAGCTCGGTGGCGGGCGTATTCTGGCCATACTGGTCACGAGCGATATGCTACAAGTGCTTGTTCTAAATGTTCGGTTCGGACGGGAGCCTCCGAGGAGGGCGCATAGTAGTTGCATGTCCTCCTGCGTCTCGCGAGAGTCGGCAAGCACGCGCCGCCGGAGGAGAAGTTCTCGGGGCTGGTGGAGATGATCATCTGCACCGCCGCCCGCTCCTTCTGGGGGTCCAGGCAGTCCACCTTCACGGCGGGTATCCAGAGCTTGAGGAAGACGCTCAGGGAGTCCAGTGGCCCCTGGAGCGTGTCCGAGGAAGAGTTCGGTGTCACGAACAAGTTTGCTTTCCTGCAGTTCCGTTAGTCTTCATGTGGCAGGCTGGCTGGAACCACGGAAACTCCGCGGTCCCTGCTCTCTCTGAAAACTGTTTATCTTGTGGTAGCGCGAGAGTTCCCGTCACCGTTTCATACGTGCTTCGGGCATGTATTCAGTTCCCGTCACCGTTTCATACGTCTTCGGGCATGTCTTTGCATCCGGATGGAACCGTCGCCATGAATGCGGACGCGGACTTTCGCTTCCGATTCGCATCCAGCAAAAAAAATGTCTATGTATCCGGATGGCATTGCGGAGTCTGGTGGAGCTGTAGGCACCACGCATGCTGGGATCATCAGCATCCTCATCCTCTTCCTCGCCCCTCCGTGTCAGCTTCCTCGCCATCACGATCCCATCCTCCTAATCATGTCCGCCTTCCCGCGAGCTTCGAGCTGCGATTGATTCTTGGTCGAGCCCTGCGCCCTTGCGAGCCACTTCCGCCCAGGCCGAAACTCATGGGTGGATGTGTGGAGAGGTGAAATATCTTCGCAGGTAAGCGGCAGCAAAGCTGAGCGAGGGAGAGGCAAGCAGCAGGAAGGACGACAGGTCGAGGAGGTCCTCTCAGGCAGGCCCCCCCATCATCCTCCACCTCCTTCTTTACTGCCATCTCTGGCTTCTCTTTCCCTTCCCTGTTCCCCCCGACATCATGTCGTGCCTCTTCTCCCTCCTCCCTCCTTCCCCCTCCCACGCTCGATACTGCGCGGATGACCCAGTGAGGGCGGGGGCGGGCAGAAAAGCTCGCCCAGAGATTCAACATACTTATGTTCAACGTTATCTCGCCCTACCTACCTTACCCTATTCATTCCATTCTACTCGAATTGATCCTCCAACGCTACGCGAGCCATTCTACTCTTTCTCATTCGAGCCCCTGCAGTCTAACATGCTTCAGATTCGAGCCCTATCTATTCGGATATGCGGGGATCTACTCTTCCGACCTCTTCTCTACTTCTGCCCCATCTCGGGAGCGAAGGATCGATGCGTCAGCAGTGTATTCATGCGAAGCCTCCTGCTGGAGCTGGGCTACGGTCGTGAGAAGCACGGCGGCAAGTGCTGTCGGCCTGGCGGCTCCGTGCTCGCCGTCGCCGCTCCGTCACCGCCTCGTCGCCGTCCATCGTCTGGGCCTGGTTGTCGGTCTGGCGGCTCCGTGCTCTGTGTCGCCGCTCCGTCGCCGCCCTGTCGCCGCCTCGTCGCCGTCCGTCGTCTGGGCCTGGTTGTCTGTCTGGCGGCGTCGTGCTCGCTGTCGCCGCCTCGTCGCCGCCCCGTCGACGCCCCGTCGCCGCCTCGCATAGATTTCTTTATAGGAAAAAATGTGACCTACACCCCCCCCCGGTTGTCCGTCCAGTCTCGCGTCATGCAATTTTCGGATATGTGCTGTCCCACCAGCCATTGTACATATGAGCTCATACGATCCCAACCAGACCGATATCCGCCCCCTACCCTTGTCAAAAAATATTAGGCACGTTCACTCGTTCATGCGAGATCACCAATAACCAAGAATATCTTTACAATCGTATTCAACGCGCGCCTGCCGTCGCATGCGCATGCCGCAAGTGACCAACAGCCGATGAGTTCGCAAAGGCTCCCATAACGAAAGTACCATAACCATCTACAGACAATGTTTGTCAATGTATGCGCGCGCGTTCCTGCGAACACTTAGGGCTTTATAAACCACTTGTGTATCAGCTGCGACCAAAAGCCATTTGGCGCGCGCATGTCGAAATCATTCGGTCGCCGTTCCCAGCGTGTTGGGTCAGCACGATCTTTGCCGGATAGTACCATGCGGGCCATTCGCGCGTGCTGGCCGCGCGCGCATGTCAAAACCCTTCCAAAATCCTCACCACGGACGCGAGGACACCATCATCGCCATTGGCGTGATCAGCATCGGCGCCGTCATTGGCCTTGCGGTTGCCATCGTCACCGTCGCCGCCAGCATCGCTCCATCATCGTCATATCTGCCGTTGTCGACGTCGCCGTGATACCGCGCCCGTCCGTGTCACCGACGCGCGACGAAGTGCCCGCGCGTCAGCGCGGCCTGCGAGACGCGCTGGGAATCTTTAGCGGTCTTCACCACCGCGGCCGCGCCAGTCTCGCCAGACTTGCTGGCCGTCCTGAGCGCGAGCCCGCGCTTGCGCGGCCGCAGCGACGCGCCAGCCAGCGCCGAGCAGTCATCGCAATCACCATTGCAGGGGTTTGGCAAATCTAATTGCGGGTGGGGCGGTGCGATGCATGCACGAGCATTGGAGGCGGTCGCTCGCGAGGGGGTTCGAGTCAATTGCACCGCGCATATTACATCGCGTAGATGGCACCGCATTGATTACATCTAATATTCACTACGTGTCCCCTGTCTTAAAAGACATTATCGATTCTACCTCCGCCCCCCCCGGGATTGCCACTCCACCGTGGGGTGTTGCAATTTACATTTGTTTCTGCATCTTTGTTCATTGTCTATTTAAATGCATGCCGCCCCAGTTCGTCCCGCCATCGGGTTCCTCCCAATCCCTGTCAATGATACCATGCGGCGCACATGAGCTGAATGCACGACTCCTTATGAAATAACACCATGAGGGCCACATGCGCGCGCGCAAGACGAAATTATTCCAAAGCGTTTTTGTTATCGTTGCGGGCCCGATATATATCAACATTACAAACCATGTTGTGTTTCAACAACAAGTCCAACATTTCATCCCTCGCGCTCTTGCGGATTTCAAGGGCACGATTGTTTTGTTCATCTTTCCTGTCCGAAGAGGCCTTCGCATGAGCGGGTCGGACTTGTTTCGATGCCCTTTTGCGCTTGCCAGAGGCATGATACCTGTCTAATAATGCCATGCGAGGCACCGTCATCGTCATCACTGCCGTCGGAAGCGTCGCGATCATTATCATCATTGTTTGTCGACGCCGGCGCCCGCGCGCTGTCGCGAGATGGACATTGCCCGCGCGACGAGCGTCCGCGCGCCAAATAACGCAATGCAATGATCTGTGGAGCTTCACGCTGTGACTGCACTTGCGACCTTATGAATTCGGCCATCTACCTCATCGTCGTTTGTTGACGCTGTCGTCCGCGCTGTCTCCCGCGAGATGGACTTTGGCCGCGACGCGAGGTTCCGCGCGCTGGTGAGCTCGATGAAATCAGCAAACGAGCTCAACGCTGCAATCGCAGTCGCGACTCTGTGAGTTTTGCCGACCAAGATGCGGGTGGGTGGGCGGTGTGTTTACACGGGCGTGGGGGGGGGGGGGGGGGTCGCGCGCGGTGCAGCGCGGTCAATTGCACCGCGTGGATTCGCCCCCCTACAAGTATTGCCCCCCCCCCCCCCCCCCCCCCCCCCCGACAGATCGGACCCCGCTGGGGATGTGCAGTTTACACATGTTTCTGCCCTATTGCCCATCCGAAACACCAGCGCCCCCCTTTCGCCCTCTGCAAACGCGCGAAATTCGCGCGCGCTCGTTTATATCGCAGACCAGCAGTTCCCAATCACCTCGTCGCAACATACGGGGCGAAGTGCACGCGCGCAAGTCGTCGTGCGCGCGTGCTAGAATTCCTCAAAGCATTTAGGTGTCGCAAGGGTTTTCGCATTGAGCGTCGCGCGAACATGGATTGCAGGCGGGCTGCGCCATTGGGGCCCTAGGCGGCGGTTCCTATGGGGCCACGAGGCGCTGTGCCGTCAAGGGTGGGAGACGCACGCGGGCTACGGTGGGGCTCCTCGTGGGGCCGCGGGGCGCTGTGCTGGGTGTGGGAGACGCATGCGGACTGCGACGCTGGGACCTTCGGTGGAGCTCCCTATAGGGCAACGGAACGGCGCGTTGGGCGGGGGAGGCACGCGGGCTGCGCAATTTGAACCATCGGTGGAGCTCTCTATGGGCTCGCGAAGCGTTGTGCTGGATAGGGGAGACGCATGCGGGCTGCGCCGCGGAGACCTCGGTGGAGCCCCCCGCGGGGGCACGAGACGCGCACTGGGTTGGGGAGACGCATGCGGGCTGCGCAGGCGGGGCCTTCGGTAGCGCCCCCTATGGGGGCACGAAGCGCTTGGCTGCGTGGGGGAGACGCATGCGGATTGCGACGCTGGGGCCATCTGTTGAGCGCGCTCGCTGTTGGGGGGGGGCACATGCGGATGGCGCCGCTGGGGCCCTCGGCGGAGCTCCCCGCGGGGCCGCGCAGCCTTGCGCCGGGCCGGGGGGGGCGCGCGCGGGAGGCGCCGCTGGGACATTAGGTGGATGTCGCGGTGGGGCCACGGAATGTTGCACTAGCCGCGGGGGCGCATAATGGCTTCGCCACCGGGGCTGTCGGTGGAGCTCCCTGTGGGGCCAAGAAACACCTCGCTGGGTGGGGGGGGCGCATGCGGGTTGCGCCGCTCGAACCTTCGGCGGAGCTCCCTATTGGGCCGCGGACCTGGGGGGGCGCGCGCGGGCTGCGCCGCTGGCGCCTTCGGCGGCGCTCCCTACGGGGCCACGAAGCGCTGTTCTGGGCGTGGGAGACGCATGCGGGCTGCGCCGCTGGGGCCCTCGGCGGAGCTCCCTACGGGGCCACGAAGCGCGCGACGGGGCGCGACAGAGCCGGGGGGGGGCGACGGGAGGGGGCGGGGGAGGAGGGGGGAACAGGACAGGCGAGGATGGGGGGGGAGGAGGAGCGCGGGGACTGGTGATTGTCGCGATGATGAAGGCGATGACGTTGATGATGGCGATGTTGATGACGACGACGGTGATGATGATGACGGCGACGGTTGGAGGAGGGGGGGGGGCGGGGGGGGGGAAGGGGAACGCGGGGCGCTGCCCCTGCAAATCGAAGACCCAACGCAACATGATGGCAGTTAAGAAGACACGGTTTCGCAGCGCGGAGTTTCAGGAAAGGCTGGCGCTCGCGCTCTTGCAGGCCCTCGAGAAAACCATGGTTTTCAACCTTATCGTGCGTGCTACCAAACAGGCCGCTCGCGCGCGCATCTAGAAAAATATTCGAACGGCCTTGGGCGACAGATGGGGCGACCCGCGCGCGCGTCGGCGCGCGCGCCGAAAACTTCCAGCGACCTCGGGCGCCGTGAAAATGTCAAACATGAGCCCCGATTCTTAATTTAGCTACAAATGTTGTTTTGCAACCGCAGCTTGCGAGGAATCTCGCGCGTTCTGAAGACACCATTGGTTGTTTCACGCCGCCATCAGCCCATTTCAAAGGGGCCTCTCGCGACGCACGTCGACCTCATCCGAACGCCATTGCGCGTTCGCTGAAGGGGGGG